GAGGTGGCCCTGCCCAGGGCAGGGGGGTGGAACGAGATGGTCTTTAAGGTCCCCTCCAACCCAAACCATTCTATGATTCTGTGATTCTATGTTTATTTGTTTAATTAGCGCCACTACATTATCATAGGTTATGCTCACTAGTGTTGCAAAGATCTTTTCCCTCAAAGGTTTCCTCATTTTCAGTGTTCAGTTTTGGTAAACTATCTTGGTTTTTTTTTCTTTTGTTTTCTGGTGTTTTTTTCAGTAAGCCTGCAGAATTTACAATAAAAATATAAAAAATATTATTTGACTTTTTTAGCATACAACAGATATTAACATTTATTTATTTTTTCAAAAAGGCCCAGACAATCAATACAAAATTGGTATAAAACTTTGGCAGTGATATCAGTTGTCATCTCCCATATTTGCCAACAGTAGAATAGTACCTTTCTCAGAGTATGGGCTGTTGCAGGCAAAAGTCTGTTAATTATTCTGCTGATAATCATATCAAGACTTCTGTTGAATGAGTTCTTGCCCACGGGATTAACAGCAGCATGTGTTCACATAATAGAGGGTGTTTATCCTGTAGTGTGCCTAACATATTTTTATTCTGGGGTTTTTTGTGTTGGTTTTTTTTTTACTCTAATGTGTATAGTGGTATCTGACAGAAAACATGCCATTTTAGCATGGATTTAGTTCCAGGTATTTGTATATATTTTATTATTTATTGGGTTTTTTTTAAATGGTGCTTTAAACATCACACAAATGCTAAAATGCTACCTGGCATTTCAGACATTGTCAGCCTAATATTGACAAGATAGATAGTATTGAACTAAAAAAAGAACCCAACCCACCCACGTTTAAATACTTTACGAGAGGATCTTCACAGCGCTCTCTCCTTCAGCCGTGGCGGTCCCTCAGAGTTGGTCTCTCCTCCAGAGTGGATGAGCTGTGGCAGCGCCCTGCCATCGCCATGTTGGTCCTTTTTGTGCGGGGCGGCAGCAGAAGGGTGTCCCGCGCGCAGCCCCTGCTCCAGTGCCTGTCTCTGCCTTGGCTGACCTGGCTGCTGCGCGTTGGCTCTGCAGGAACGTCAGCTCTGCCCGGTGCGTCTGCTCTGCTCCTGCCGACTGACGTCAGGGTGC